AAGACCGCATAAGTGCCGTACAGTGGTTATGGCTGCCAGAGTTTCGTTCATCAAATATCTGGGCGACATCCCAGCAGCCATCATTCCCACTTGTTCGTATATCCTGATGAATTTTCTGCAAAGGAATCGCTACACACTAAAGGGTAATTAAATACACGCCATTTAGCGCCTCCGCTCGGAACGGGGGTTAGTGTAACGACGCTGTACATTTGTGCTGGATGTCCTAAGGAAAAGCACTAATGATATTGCAAACTTGCAGTTAGGCGTTTGACCACTGGTCGGAAGTTTGTGGGTTTGAAACTCTGAGTTTCGTGATATGCTCACCACCTGTGATTCCCAATAGGGATGAAACAACTGTACAGTGGTTTCCGGCTTTTCAGCTCAGACTTACATCCCCACTGACAGGATTAAATTTCAATCGCAACTCATGGTAATGACTTTCCGTACTGACAAGGAGCGTGAGTTCACAACACATTTTTGACCGGGGTACTACTGATGTGAATAGTGGTATCGACCAGGTTGACCAGAAGGACCCTGGTCCAGCGGGCCAAACGACGTGAACGAGTGAAAATATCGCCGTTTCAGACGCTGCGAGCACATGTGTTACTCGAGACGAATGAACAAAAAAATAAGCTTTTAGTGTGGGTGGTCTAGTGATTGCCTCCAACGGTGGCTAAGACACAAGAAACCAGTGTTCTACTCACTAGTGATGCTTGGAAACAGAACAGATGAAAATTAGCTTTGCGGTTTCTGGAGAGTAAGAAGTAATGTGAGACCCCCCCCCCGCAATAAAATATAGTTCAGCCGTAGCACCCTTCCAATGCCTAACTGCCATGCCACTAGACCAAAGGACGAGGTCTGAGGTGCTGCCAGTCGAGTGGCAGAGGTTGGGTTCAAACCACGAACCTTCTGGTCGGCAAATTCGCGCTCTAACCACTGAGCCGGGCAGTTCATTCTTGATTACTGTTCCTACTCGAATTTGAACGATAGCCTCAAGACGCATTGGCTCATCTTACAGGAACGTATGAAAGCGATTCTGGGAGGCACACCCACTGCTGTAATACCTAATTTTTAAGACTTGATCTGCGCGACCTTCTTGATCATCCTGATATTTCTTTGTTCCTTCCTATGGGAGTGAAACGCTCTTGTTCTGGCTGGTCGGGGGTTAGGTGGGCTTTATTTCTGTATGCTTCACTCCGTGGCCGGGTCTCTTTTCGATTTCCCGAATGAGTCGCTTACATATGGTCGTGCATAGACACTGTCCCGTCGGCAGTGTCGATCGGTCGACCAGAAGATACCCATGTGTTTCTTCTTGTCATAATTTACACACTCTCTGTACTTCCTTTCCCCCGGTCAAACTCTTCCCTTGTCTGCTGCTGTTTACTGCGTCTACCTCTCAGACTCGTTATGAATTTGTAATCCCTCGTGAACTTTTAACCCTTGACTTGTCGAACTAATTTGGCCAGCCATTCTTTACGCGCGCTTTTTGACCATCTTGCGTTACCACGTGTTGTACCCAGGCGTGTGTCGCAAACTAAGATCGATTTGCCATCTGCTCCGGGCTTTCTTTGTACTTGCACTGCTTCGTGAAACAGTTTATACGGAAACCCTTATAAGTTGACGTTTGTACCCCTTCTATTACGTGTTTTATACATGTAGTACCGCATCTTTTGATGAGTCTCAAGAATCCACAACTTCTGGCTTGTGATTCGGCGCGTCACTCAAGTGGGCTTTCCTGAATACGTCGAAGTATTCTACAATCTCCAAAATGGATACTTCACCACACGAAAACTACGGATGTCAAATCATATCTGCTCGATGCCATAGTACGCCTCTTCATTTGTATACCACCCTTCTCTCATCGCTTGCGATGTGTGACAGATCTGCCGCCTCATCTCAATTTCACGGATTCTCAATACTTTTTCGTTTGATAAACGACCCGTCTTATTCCTACACAATCACTTGATTCGGTTGAATTCAGCAGAGGGACAAGAAATTTTGTTATCTGCGTGCGAAAGTAAAAAAGAATCTCCTGCCAGTGGTGCAATCACTGATGATCACGGATTGTTATCGAATCCAAAATCAATGCGCTGAATATTCATCCGAAAGCTCGTGACCGAAAAAAATCAAATCTACAGATGGACCTTCAAGTAATGTAGGCCAGATTGCGTGTTTGCGACACAGTGCAAGCTGCACGACCTTGGTCCTACATCGTGAAGTCATAAACACAAGAGTGAGTCTATTCTAGCGGGAAGGAAGCCAAATATTTGTCAAACCACTGATTTCGTGAAAATGAGATATCTGAGATTTTTCGGACGCAACGGAACTCTGACCAATCTCATGACCTGATTCATCTTAAGCGAATGACTCAGTGAATTCCGCATAGTCAAGGAATATCCGTACGACCTGGTGTGAGGTTAGCCACTGTCTCTTGATTCAGTTCGATCGAGATGGTAATGCTGTTGCAGTGTTAAACGAAGGGCTCATTTCGTGAGCAAGTATTCAGATGTTGATGCTGACGCAAACAGGCTTAAGAGAAGCCTTGAAAAAGTCGGTGTCCATGGGCAGCGCCCTTTATTCATACGATCCCGACGCGATGATGGTGAAAGGAATAACTCCCTTCAGTTCGGAGTTGTTTATTGACTAACACAGACTAAGCGATTACACGTTACTAGGCAATAAAGTAAAATTCCCAACTACCTGAAATTTCCTGGACGTTTTTTGCATATTAAACAAACACTGCAAATCGGTTCCGTAATTTCTGTACCAAGCGTCCAATAAAATGAAGAGAAAGGAGTTTGGTACTTGATACTAAAGATACTACTAGCATGTTTCATCAGTGGCATGCACTGATAAACACCTTCCCCCTTCACCTGTTCGTATGCATGGCAGAGATTTCAGATACGTCTCAAGGAGGTCAGTCTCGGCAGCTTATCTATCATCGACCATCCTGAACTCTATAGACGTTTTACTGGTGGTCAGCGACGAAAAAACGGCCCTGCCACTAACTGCCCAAACTCGACCACCCCAGTCCACTCTTTCTGTGATTGCTCCATTTGACCTACGTTCCATGGGGTGAGTTGCCCCTGCAGTATCCTTTTTCATCAATTGGCATTGGTTACCGGACCAGTAGTATACACTGCTACACTGGTAGTGCCTGTTTGTCACAGGTTCGGAAGACGCTTGCTGGTTATAAATACACAAAAATGTTCGACTAGCCCTTGACGAAAGGGGTCCGGAAGGTTTCTGCGTGCGTTTGAGTCTGGTTTTTCGTCCAACTTCCACAGACTTGGAAGTCCAACTACATGGTTGGAGTTTAAGTGGCCACGAAAGAGGAGTTTTCTTGTGCAAAACGAGTTGAGAACATTTTTTTTTACCGCAGAGTGTGTTATGGTGAAGCTGACTGGATCATACGGTAGGTTTCTACAACATAAACGCAGCGACACACTATTCGTCCTGATAGAAGATCTCTATAGCTGATGGGCCTAGGAACAACTTCCAGGAGAACGGTTCCTCGACGAAGGCGTTTCCTGATAATAGGTTGTACGACTCGTATACTTTGGGGGGATGAGATTTCATTTTTGTTGCAGTGTAGGTCAGAAGCTTCCCTGAGGACAGAACCAAGATCGTTCAAAATGGATAGTCCAGTAATTGAGAAATTCCGCACACCTTTCGGTCGCATATGGTAGCGCAATGTGATGGGCCAGTAGTCTAGTCACCCATTCTCATCATCTCCATCAAATACGAACCCCTGAACCTTCATCTCGGCAAACCTAAATAGGACTCAATTCTCAAAAAGCCATAGAGTGAGGATTAGGAGGTATCCGGCTGCTATGTGTTGCTCTATCCCATCTACGATACGGCTCATGTGCTACGCATGCCAAAACACCGTCGAGTGTTGTTCTCCGTGCCTCCTTCAGAATGGCGCAAACTGCGAGGTGGACAGCGCATCACTTGGCAGAAAGGCGTGAATGAGATCACGAAGAGTTTGGGTGTTGTTGGTGTTGTGCGACTTCCAGGATAGGGTGCCCGTGACCCCGTCTGTGCTTGGATGGAGACGTTGCAAGAAATGGCGGCTAATCGATGTCAGTGGCGTTTGTGCTGTCACGTTCTTTCCAGGTTGTCTGATTGAGCGGTTGGAGGTGTAGGCACCTCAGTATGCTTGACATAGGCCAGCACTAGGTCCCCTCCCTCACCCACTCTTTTTCTCTTCTCTTCACTGTAGGGCTTTTAATACAATTATACATATATATATAACTGGACGAAACTTATGGTTGTACGACAGTGAAGCATCAGTGCCAACACCGATTTCGGTGTCGCTGATGATGATGATGACAACCTGGAGTGTTCCAGTGATTTTCCCATCAATGCCAATTCTAATCCAGTGAAGAGAATTCCACGAGAGTGATGGGCTGGATTGTCCGCCCGACTTATGACTTTTACGTCTTTTAAACTCAAAATTTCGGGCCAGTGAAATAAGGTACTTCGACTCTGATTCCTTCTGTTGAAAATATATTTTTTGGGGAACAAGAAATCGTCTCATCTTCGGCTCTTAATGGCTTTTCCCCTATGTAGGTTCTGGAGATTGCTTTAGAGGAAAGGAAATCGTTTGGCCAGGTTGTGTTCAGAAAAGGGTTTGCCTTCTTTCAGTTTTTTCCCTCATTTTGACAGTGTCTTACCTCGACAGGCGGGTTTTTATGCTTAAAAATAGTAGTTAACTACACAACCGAGCGAAACCTCTTAGAGCAGCGCCAGGTGAAACAGAACGCTAAAAAACATTCAAACGTTAAACCAAGTTAATAGTATCCAATCATTGATATTCAGTCATGACAGTAGTTTGTAGTTGTGTTTAAGTTTGCCCCTTTATTTTTTCAAACAAATCATCTATTTTCAGATAATGTGTGGTATTGCAGGATGTGTTTCAACGTTTAAAAATTTGCCGCGTTCAAAAATCGATCGTCGTTGGGAACAAACAACCCATACATCCATTTCTTACTTACCCGCCTGTGCAATCAATTCAACCACACCCACATGACCCATATAGGCAGCAGCAATAAGTGGGGATCGTCCCTCGGCATCCTGAATATCCACGTTTGCTCCGGCATCCAACAGTCTTTGGACAATCTCCTCATGACCGGCCCAGGCTGCAGCGCGTAAGGCACTGCGGCCGTCGGATCCAGCAAGGTCAACTTTGGCACCACGATTAAGGAGCAAATCGACGATATCTGGAATGAGAGATAAAGGTGAACCGCTGTAAAAATAGATAATGGTAACCGCTAAAGCAATTTGTGCGAACCTGGAAGGCCGAAGCCGAATATTTGGCTTTCTGGACGCCAGATAAGGAAAGTGAGCATCGTTAAGCATCCTCATCCTATTGATTTCCTCCCCTTATCCACTAAAATCAAGTTCCTCGCATGTTCCCGAGGTAGAACTTTTCAAACATTGTTCCACCGCAGAACACTGAGATAAGATGTAACCAATCATAAAGGAAACTACTAACAAGGTTGCTGAAAACTCTTCGACAGCCCACGACCGATTTCGCCCTTCTTGTAACCAATCATCTCTCACGTGACATGGTCTGAACTGGGATACCTAGCACTAATTGTTTGGTAAACTCGATTCGCCTCGGGCTTCAGCGGTGCGAATCATTTGCTGGCCTGCCGGTATGAAAGTATAGGATGGAAAATATGTTTCCGAATATCAGTATGGTATGTGTGCATTTGAGCAAACTAAATCCGAACTTAGCGTTCGATCGGATATTAATAACAGACGGCTTTCTGAGTTCGCCTCAGGGTAAAAATCACTTTCCACTAGAATAAGCTCACATAAATCCAGACGCATTGCAAAATCAAGTGAGAAACTGATCTGTCTGCTAAGCTGTATCGCCCAGATCGACCAACAAACTATATTATTTTTTTACTCCGCATGTGGGCGGCTAGTTCAGATCTCACGACAGAATCAAATCTTTAATAAAACTAGACACAGGACGAATATCGTAGCAACAATGCGGACGATTTTATTGAAGAAAACTACTCACAATGTTGCTGAAAACTGTTTGACAGCCCACAACTGCTTTCGCCCAAATTGGGGTTCATCGAGTAGGCGCAGTCCCCGAGTTTTCACCAACCTTATGTTCTACTTGAACCCAAATTGGACTGAGTGCGACAAATACACTCATTTGCAAATCAGTCTGGTTGTCACGGGAGACTCAACTGAATCTCTCGTGTATGATATTCTGCAACTGAATGTGCTGCACACAGGCTCCCTCGTGTTTCACTTGGTACGATATTCGAGATATCGCAGTACATTTTCACCAAGAAAACTACTCAAATTGATCTGCAACTGAGTGTATTTGTCGAAATGCGGAAGATTCATGCGAAAATCTCTATAGACTGTGAATGCAATGTCTTCAAGAACCCTCGTATGTGACAGACTAAATAGGCTTGAAGTTTGTGCTTCCAAACGACTTTACAAGCAATATCTAAGATGATGAAATGAGCCTTCACATCTAGTCGGTTCACTTATGTTTGTACCCATCGTGTCCGCACAACCTCCCACTATGCTTATGCCTATCCCAAATCGGGAAGGTAGCCCCATTACACTGATGGTGTGGTGAAAAGATATGGTCCCCTACGCTTGAGATTTCATCCTGTTCATGAGGCTAGTGTATGAGCAAAAACTGAGAAGCACTGTTTCTTCCTTATTGGAGACTATCACAAGGGCGCTGCTCACAAAACTCCAAAACGTTTTTAACCCACAGCTTCCAGGCTAGTAGTTTGAACAATTGGCCGTTCGGCAACGATTGGCTAATCAGTTTTGTGAATAGTTCTCACTTGCTACCGCTCATAGTTCAGTCACATAACCCACACCACATGGTCGCGTATTGACCACTCCGTCGAGTAACGACTTTTCTTGCTGCAACTTTGCAATGCACCACTGGACTAAAGTGCCAACACGCGCGCCCTTTTAGGGGTCATAAGTCAGATGCACTAGTGATAAAACGCTCAGTTTGCATATTAGACGTTCAAGGTTCACTTTCTTGTAGGGGTCAGGACAAATCCGCACGGAGTGTATCCGGGTTGTTTGTAGCCCGAGTGCAATAATCAGGCGTTTATCAGGTGGCTGAGCTAAGCAAGTGGCTTGCAAACGTTTCGTCACCAAGCGCCTGAGCAATCAGATAGAAAGAAAATGGACCACGGTGTAATACTAATTGTCGATACGCCAATCAGAGCAGATAAAGAAACTATTGAAAAAAACTACTTGGGGGGATAGTCAAGTGCAATGGATGCGGACCAAAACATGGCATAAGTCAAGAACTGACTGATGAAATTGCAGTTTGGCTGGTCTCAGATTAGTCAATTAAGCTATGAGATATTAAGTGCTTACTGAAAAAAAAACAGTATAAAGACATCCAGTACAAATGGAAGCGTTCATCCATTCGGCTAATGATACGACTTTTAACGAAAGGATTTTTAGCCAGTCGCCAACAGGAACAATGGCCACATGGATTGTCTGACATCACTGACCGACAGATTACCTCTCCTTGTTGCAGCATCAAACACAAAATGGGCCTCTCTACTCATGACTATGCTACAAGACTCAGCTTGCTCGTTAACCTTGAAGGTATGCCAGAAGTCTTCTGGAACGCACTCTTGCCCATCAAGCAGACAAGGGGGGGCAAAGCTTCGACATCATCCTAGGGAACAGTGAAGCCTTTCAAGGTTATGATAGTCATCATCGACAGCATGACCTCATTGTTTAACACTGATGTTTCGCTGCCACTTTTCAAGATACAGAACTTGAAAAGCCATTGATTATCTGCATAATTTTTGATGCGCCACAGGATCTGCTGAGCATATGCCTTCGAACCGGTTCTCGTGATGACGCACCCCAAAGAATCATAATCCCAAGTTTGAACCGTTCGGCTACAAGCGGCTGATTAATCACGAGACCCACATCATGTGGTCACGTAGTTCCAATAAAGATGACAAAGCTCTACGGTGCATCTCGGATTTTCAGCATAGACCGACTTCACCAACAGGACAAAACTACTAGTGAAAGGAAGAAGGCCATCGCTGCGGAGTTATTCATTAGAAAATGCCAACCGAACAGTTACAGACTATTGGACAGGGAGGCAAAACTCTCACGTGCATCTCATTTACACAAACTGAACATCCATCTTCTCTTGAACGCGGCTTCCTGAACTTTCCTCGATATTCATTGACTGTTGCTCAAATCCAAGCAAATGCTACAAAGCGACTCGACAAATTCCGCAATAGATCTCCCTTTTCAAGCGAATTTACAAGAAAACATACCATCCGCATGCCTCCCCATAAGCAGTATCGCCGTTACACTAGTAGACATTACCAGATCTGCTTGCATCACTATTAATAAATAAGCAGCTCAGAGGAAGATGAGTAAAACTTACTTCTGAGAAGTCATCACTAGGCAACATGTGACCACGTGATATGGACCCCGTGACTGAAGGATGAGTGGCGCTACGTCCTGTCTAAGCGACTACCAATCATACTGCTGATCAGCCGCTTGTGGACAAACGGTTAAATGCTCAATCTACGAACCCGGAGGTTGTGGATTCGAAAATCTTTGAGCTTAATGAGATACGCACTGTCATTTTTTTCACTGAGGATGAAACAGCTGCACACTGTTTCTCGGCTTTTGAGCATGGATTGTGGCCTTACTTAAGCGACAAAATCTCAGTTTCAGAATTGCCATTTCTAATCACGCCTCCAAAAAGCGAGCTAGTCTTCCGTGCATACCAAGGGATCTAATGTAACCGTGTTCTGGGAACCAACTTGCCCTTCGAGGAGGGGCTCTGGTGACTATCAAAACAAGGAAATTTGGCACGGCTTAACGTCCGGCATTGGTGCTCCTGCACACAGCATTAATACTCTGACTGCGTTTGTGTTCGGAGCAGCAGTTTGGTCAGCTGGCTGTCCTCACATCTGGTACTTTTGATTGTCGCTCGCACACACACATACACCATACCATGAAGTCCCGGTGGAACGGGGTTACTTAAGCGACAAAATCTCAGTTTCAGAACTGCCATTTCTAATCACGCCTCCAAAAAGCGAGCTAGTCTTCCGTGCATACCAAGGGATCTAATGTAAACGTGTTCTGGGAACCAATTTGCCCTTCGAGGAGGGGCTCTGGTGACTATCAAAACAAGAAAATTTGGCACGGCTTAACGTCCGGCATTGGTGCTCCTGCACACAGCATTAATACTCTCACTGCGTTTGTGTTCGGAGCAGCAGTTTGGTCAGCTGGCTGTCCTCACATCTGGTACTTTTGATCGTCGCTCACACACACACACACCATACACATGAAGTCCGGTGGAACGGGGAGAGGCTGAGTGTGTGCTCCCATTTTGATACCACCATGTGATGACGAAAGTGGAAGTGAAGTGATGCCAAGTTGCAAACACTAGTGCCAAAAAAATCGGAACTAGATGTTTTGGCCGTGGATGGCCGTCTAACTGGATAGTGCTGCATCTAAGTCGCTGAACGTTTACTCATGGACGTTTTTGAAGCTGTTAGTATGCGGGAGCAGATCGATGAACATTCAAATATCACAACCGGACATCGGAAGTAGTGTCTCAATAGTGTTATCACCCGAACATCGCTGTCTGGAAGGATAACTTGACTTATTTGGTGCGACCAACGATGATGCGTAGTCAACTTTGTGTTCGATCATCACATTGAGCTCCACCCGACAAAAGTAACAGGGTCCGGTCGTCCGTAATTAGGGTCCCCGGTCTACGTTGCCAACCTCAGCACGACGCTAACGCGTATGTCGCCCATACATGAAGAAGGGATATCTTTGAGGTTTAAAAACTATCACTTAGCTATTCATAACTAAACACATTCACGGTGAATTCGGTACAGGGGTAGACAAACCAAATCATGTGGAAATGTTTGTCAACAGATTAATCTTCCGGGACGATACAATTCCTAACACACATTAGGACCTAGCTACGGAGCACACACACAGTGACTACGCGAAAGGAAGAGAAATTTTGAGGCGACAAGTGACAACAGGAGATTTATTTGTAATACACTACTCATAAGGTTGCTGAAAATTCGTCGACAACCCACGACCGGTTTTGCCCAGATTGGGGCTCATCAGATAGGCGCATTCCCTGAGTTTCCGTCAACCTTATGTTCTACGTGAACCCAAATTGCACGAAATTGGCAAATATACGCTCATT